AAAAAAAAAGCTGTAATTTTCTCAACCGTTGTACATTAATACAGAAATAGAGTTAACTGAAAGAAAAAAAAAGGGTTTTTAAATGACCGCTGGCTTGCGTTTGGTTTGTTCAGATGTTTTAAAAGTAAAACTGAACTTTTTTTTAAAATGCAGTTTAGTGTCTTGTCACTTCTGAGAGTCCAGATCTGTTCGTTCTCCCTGAGCTCAGCAGGGAGGGTTTGCTGTACAGGCTGGTCACTGTGACTGTGCCTTAACACCGATAAGGAAACCCCTCACCCTCGTCTGTCCTTTTACCAGCTCGGCAAGAGTCGGGGAAACTTGGCTCGTCGCCCTGTTAATTCTTAGCTTTAATTATTGCTGTGTTTTATATTTTTGAGGGAAAATATTTTGATATGTGATCAAAATATCTTGTGTGTGCGTGTGCTCATTGGTTGTTTTATGTATAAAAGAGCCTGTGCCTGGATGGTCATGAATGATGTCAAGAAATAACCGGCAAAGAGGTTTTTGAATGTCTCCTGTGCGGTACCTGGACCTCACAGTGTGCTACAGGGGGCACCTAGTCAGTGTCGTCTTCGCCAGAGGAGGATTTACAAAGCACTAACTACAGGGGTGTGAAAATGAGACCCACATGTTTTCTGGACTGATATGATTTCATTCATATGCAGTGCTTTTAAGATCGCTGTATAACAAATTTTAGATTTTTTTAAAATAAGAAACAATATTCAGTCTAAATCTTTCAATTATTTAATGTTGTTCCTGTTTCACCAGGGGTGTGAACAGTTTTGGATGGCACTATGTTCACAGTACAGTAAAAGACTGTGTACTGTTGTCGAAAGCTGTGACAACATGAGATTAGTGTCTGTGACTGTGTGTGAGAATGCTGTACTGGCCTGCTGTGTGTGCGCGTCTCCCGGCAATGCTGTAGGCTGGAGCCTGGGCCAAGGTCAAAGGGAGACTGTAGGACATGGCACTGAGGCTCACACTGTCTGTACCTGCAACACAAAACACACCACGCTGAGACCTCGCCCACAGCAACACAACACTGAGACTCCGTTCCCGGTAACACAATACACTGAGACCTCACACACATCAGCACAACAGGCACAGAGGGCCACACACGCAGGGATATGCCACACGACCAGGAGAGAGGAGGGAGTGCTCTCTTCTCAGCTGTGAGGCCCGGAGAAGACGGGGAAACTGAAGCGGGCATCCCGCAGAGATGAACAGACACGGCGGGCACACAGATGCCCTGCTCTGCCCTGCTCTGTCCTCACCTCTGTGCAGGGGCAGTCTGTGCCTGATGGACACCGGGGTCCCCCTGCTGAAAGCAGGAGCTATGTGGTAATCACTTGGCCCTGTTGAGGAAGAGAGAGGAGAGTGGGGGGGGTCACACGTGCTGTAGATCTCGAATCTACAGCCCACAAGCCCTCTGAGCTTGGGCACCTGGGAGGGGGTCTGGCTGTTTCCTGCGCAGTCTGCTCCCCAACGTGCCCCCGTCGGGCAGGGCAGCGAAACCAGGGGAATGGAACCCCAGCACGTCCACTGGCTGTATCCTGCAGTCTGGGGACCCCCAGTGCACCCCAGCCCTGTGCCGGGACCCTGAGGAGGAGGAGAGAAGTTGGGGGCCACACGGTGTTGTCTCAGGGTGATGTAATGATGAGCAGGGACTGTTGTTCTGTGTCCTTTCTGGGGGGGCTGGCTGGTTTTTGGAGGTCTCTCCCTGTCCATTGCTGTGTTTAGACTCTACCTGCAGTGTATGTGGGTGCATGCGCACCTGTCTGCCAGTAGCTGACACTACGCAGCAGGAGAAAGTAAGAGGTTTATTCCATGCTGAAAAAAAGAAGAAAGAGAACACCTGAAGAAGGCTCCACGGCCGAAACGTTGTGTTCTCTTCTTTTTTTTCAGCATGGAAAAAACCTATTACTTGTTCCTTTGCAGCCTACGCATGCTGACGCAGCTCCCCACCTGAACTACTACGCAGCAGGTCCTGGGGAGTCCCTACCTGGAAGGAAACACAGAATTGACTTTTTGCTGCTGACCTGTTAGCGCTTTGTTTTTGTTTCAGCGAGCGCCGTGCAGCTCGGGCAGCCTGTCGGTCTCTCTCGCCGAGGCTGGACAGGAGGACAGGGGTTCGGGTCTTCAGGGCTTTTGTGCGGCGCCGCCAGAGCAGACCGAGAGAGGTGTCGTGCTGTGGTGCTCCTGGGACATCTGTGAAAGAGACGGAGGGAGGGAGGGAGGAGAGAGACGGGGAGACAAAAGGCACAGGGCAGAGATGGAGGGAGAGAGGGATAGAGGTGAGAAACAAGGCAGAGAGAGATGGGATGGCCACACGCAGGTTGCTACATAACTGCACACCAGGGAGGACACCTCTGACCTCCACTGATAAAACACTTGCCCTTATACGGAGTCCCACCAGCCCCAGACCCCTGACCTGCAGTCCTGCTCGGCGCACGGCGCCCCTTTATGGTGAAACTGGGTCCCTGCAATCCAGTTGTGGGATAGTAGCTGGCTGGGCCAGGCAGCGGGAGTCCTGGGACAGACAGAAGAGCAGGCTGGCTGCCCAGTAAAGTTCATTCTCCTTTAGTCCAGTACTGTGAACAGGCACGAGTTCAGTCCGGCATTCTGCAGGAATAAGTACAGTTCAGTTCAGCCTAAGGCTGAAATCAGATGAATAACAAGCTTTTTGTTTTTAATTGGTTGGAACCCTGAAGCCCATGGCTCACAGGCAATCCCCATAAGAACCGGTCTGCAGTCTGATTCTGTCTTTTTCAGCCCCCTATTAAATCTGGCAGAGTTCCTCTCCAATGAATTCGATTCTCACCCAGGCTGCCGAGCGGAGTTTCTCCTTCACGCAGGATCTGGGATCCCACTGGGCTGCGCAGCACTGCAAGACACAGATAGAGTCATGCATAGACAGAGACAGACAGACACAGAGACAGAGAGAGACACAGACGGGGTCATACATAGACAGAGACAGATACACAGTCACAGACACAAAGGCACGGTAGATGGGATAACGGTCATGCAGACGCAGACGCAGACGCAGACGCAGAC